GGGGTCCTTAATCTTGTCCCCCAGGATGCGACCCACAACAGTTGACTAACACCCAGGTGAACAGGAAAAAATGCCTGGAACTAGTGCTCATATTGGTGAGGTTAGTGGGGAGGATGTGGAAGAGTTGGTGGAGGAGGACAATGAAGAACTAACCACTGATGAGCTGCTAGATCATCTTCAACAGTAAGAGGCCACACCTGAAGAAACTGCTCCAGAGGAGGGGATAGAGAAATTGAAGAAGTTGCCTACTTCGAAGATTAAGGAAATGTGTGCAATGTGGCTTAAAGTGCAAACCTTTTTTGATGAAAATCACCCTCACACAGCTATTGCAAGCCGTGCTGGTGACTATTACACTGACAATGTTGTGAAACACTTTAGGAAAGTCATAATGGAACGAGAGGTATGGGCCTCTATGGACAGATATGTTGTGCAACAGAGGTCCAGTGACTCTCAAGCTGGTCCTAGTGGCATTAAAAGAAGAAGGGAAGTAACCCAGAAAAGGACTTGACACCTCAAGTCCTAATGGAAGGGGATTCCCCTTCTAAACACTAAGACCATCAACACTCTCCCTTCCTCCCATCCCATCAATCATCACCAGATCTTCAATAAAGGTAAGTGTCATGTAACTGTGCATGACTTCTTCAGTTTGTGTGTATTAAAATTAATATTTCATGTGGTAAAAATTTTTTTTTTCATACTTTTGGGTGTCTTGCACGGATTAATTTGATTTCCATTATTTCTTATGGGGAAAATTAATTCGCATAACGATAATTTCGCATAACATTGAGCTCTCAGGAACGGATTAATAGTGCTATGCGAGGGTCCACTGTATAGTAGAGTATATGGAGAGTAAAAGAAAGGTGAAGAGAGTGGCGAGATAGTGCAAAAGGAGAGCAGATGATAGAGTGGGAGAGGCACTGTCAAGAAATTTTAATGAAAATAAGAAAAAATTTTGGAGTTAAACAAGTTAAGAAAGCCTAAGAGAATGAATGAATTTGTCAGTTAAAAACAGAGTAGGGGAGTAAGTAAATGGGGAGATGGAGGCTTTGGATAGATGGCGAGAATATTTTGATGCTCTTAAATGTCAACGGTAATTTCATGCACTGGCCAGGGAGGTATACCATCTTTAAGGAGAGAAGAAGAACAGGATTTGAGTGTGGGGGAGGTGTGTGAGGCATTACATAGAATGAAAGGGGGTAAAGCAGCTGGAACTGATGGGATCATGACAGAAATGTTAAAAGCAGGGGGGAATATAGTGTTGGAGTGGTTGGTATTTTTGTTTAATAAATGTATGAAAGAGGGGAAGGTACCTAGGGATTGGCAGAGAGCATGTATAGTCCCTTTATATAAAGGGAAGGGGGACAAAAAAGATTGTAAAAATTATAGAGGAATACGTTTACTGAGTATACCAGGAAAAGAGTACGGTAGGGTTATAATTGAAAGAATTAGACGTAAGACAGATTGTAGGATTGCGGATGAGCAAGGAGGTTTCAGAGTGGGTAGGGGATGTGCAGATCAAGTGTTTACATTGAAGCATATATGTGAACAGTATTTAGATAAAGTTAGGGAAGTTTTTATTGCATTTATGGATTTAGAAAAGGCATGTGACAGAGTGGATAGGGGAGCAATGTGGCAGATGTTACAAGTATATGGAATAGGTGGTAAGTTACTAAATGCTGTAAAGAGTTTTATGAGGATAGTGAGGCTCAGGTCAAGGTATGTAGAAGAGAGGGAGAATACTTCCCGGTAAAAGTAGGTCTTAGACAGGGATGTGTAATGTCACCATGGTTGTTTAATATATTTATAGATGGGGTTGTAAAAGAAGTAAATGCTAGGGTGTTCGGGAGAGGGGTGGGATTAAATTATGGGGAATCAAATACAAAATGGGAATTGACACAGTTGCTTTTTGGTGATGATACTGTGCTCATGGGAGATTCTAAAGAAAAACTGCAAAGGTTAGTGGATGAGTTTGGGAGTGTGTGTAAAGGTAGAAAGTTGAAAGTGAACATATAAAAGAATAAGGTTATGAGGGTATCAAATGATTTAGATAAAGTAAAATTGGATATCAAATTGGATATCAAATTGTTTTCAGATACGTACTTGGGAGCTGATGTGTCGGCGGATGGATTTATGAAGGATGAGGTTAATCATAGAATTGATGACGGAAAAAAGGTGAGTGGTGCATTGAGGTATATGTGGAGACAAAAAACATTATCTATGGAGGCAAAGAAGGGAATATATGAAAGTATAGTAGTACCAAAACTCTGATATGGGTGTGAAGCTTGGGTTGTGAATGCAGCAGTGAGGAGGCAGTTGGAGACAGTGGAGATATCCTGTATAAGGGCAATGTGTGGTGTAAATATTATGCAGAAAATTTGGAGTGTGGAAATTAGGAGAAGGTGTGGAGTTAATAAAAGTATTAGTCAGAGGGCTGAAGAGGGTTTGTTGAGGTGGTTTGGTCATTTAGAGAGAATGGACGAAAGTAGAATGACATGGAGAGCTTATAAATCTGTAGAGGAAGGAAGGCGGGGAAGGAGTCGTCTTCGAAAAGGTTGGAAGGTAGGGGTAAGGGAGGTTTTGTGGGCGAGGGGCTTGGATTTCCAGCAGGCGTGCATGAGCATGTTTGACAGGAGTGAATGGAGATGAATGGTATTTGGGACCTGACGATCTGTTGGAGTGTGAGCAGGGTAATATTTAGTGAAGGGATTCAGGGAAACCGGTTATTTTTATATAGCCCGACTTGAGTCCTGGAAATCGGAAGTAAAATGCTTGCACTCTAAAGGAGGGGTTCGGGATATTAGCAGTTTGGAGGGATATGTTGTGTATCTTTATACGTACGTACAGTGGACCCTCGGCTAACGATGGCATCACCTAATGTTAAATCCAGCTAATGATACATTTTAATGCAAACATTTTGCCTCAGCTAACGCTAAAAAGCTCACCTAACGATATTAATTCTCAGGTACCTATTAATATCGTTAGGTGAGGGTCCACTGGATATGCTTCTAAACTATTGTGTTCTGAGCACCTATGAAAAAACAGTGATTATGTGTGAGTGAGGTGAAAGTGTTGAATGATGATGAAAGTGTTTTCTTTTTGGGGATTTTCTTTCTTTTTTGGGTCACCCTGCCTCGGTGGGAGACAGCCGACTTGTTAAATATATAATATATATATATATATATATATATATATATATATATATATATATATATATATATATATATATATATATATATACATATATATAATATATATAATATATATATATATAATATATATAATATATATACATATATATATATATATATAATATAATATATATACATATATATACTATATATACATATATATTACATATATATACATATATATACAATATATATACATATATATAATATATATATATAATATATATATATATACAGTGGACCCCCGGTTAACGATATTTTTTCACTCCAGAAGTATGTTCAGGTGCCAGTACTGACCGAATTTGTTCCCATAAGAAATATTGTGAAGTAGATTAGTCCATTTCAGACCCCCAAACATACACGTGCAAACGCACTTACATAAATACACTTACATAATTGGTCACATTCGGAGGTAATCGTTATGCGGGGGTCCACTGTATATATATGCTTCAATGTAAACACTTGATCTACACATCCCCTACCCACTCTAAAACCTCCTTGCTCATCCGCAATCCTATTCTGTCTTACCTCTAATTCTTTCAATTATAACCCTACCGTACACGTTTCCTGGTATACTCAGTAAACTAATTCCTCTATAATTTTTACAATATCTATTGTCCCCTTTCCCTTTATATAAAGGAACTATACATGCTTTCTGCCAATCCCTAGGTACCTTCCCCTCTTTCATACATTTATTAAACAAAAATACCAACCACTCTAACATTATATCCCCCCTTGATTTTAACATTTCTGTCATGATCCTGTAAGTTCCAGCTGCTTTACCCCATTTCATTCTATGTAATGCCTCACACACCTCCCCCACACTCACATCCTGCTCTTCTTCACTCCTAAATGATGGTATACCTCCCTGGCCAATGCATGAAATTACCGCCTCCCTTTCTTCGTCGACATTTAAAAGTTCCTCAAAGTATTCCTGCCATCTACCCAATACCTCCATCTCCCCATCTACTAACTCCCCTACTCTGTTTTTAACTGACAAATCCATTTGTTCCCTAGGCTTTCTTAACTTGTTTAACTCACTCCAAAATTTTTTCTTATTTTCATTAAAATTTCTTGGCAGTGCCTCTTCCACTCTATCATCTGCTCTCCTTTTGCACTCTCTCACCACTGTCTTCACCTTTCTTTTACTCTCCATATACTCTGCTCTTCTTATAATACTTCTGTTTTGTAAAAACCTCTCATAAGCTACCTTTTTCTCTTTTATCACACCCTTTACTTCATCATTCCACCAATTACTCCTCTTTCCTCCTGCACCTACCCTCCTATAAGCACGAACTTCTGCCCCACATTTTAATACTGCATTTTTAAAACTATTCCAACCCTCTTCAACCCCCCTACTACTCATACCTGCACTAGCCCACCTTTCTGCCAATAATTGCTTATATCTCACCCGAACTTCCTCCACCCTTAGTTTATACACTTTCACCTCTCTCTTACTTGTTGTTGCCATTTTCCTCTTTTCCCATCTACCTCTTACTCTAACTGTAGCTACAACTAAATAATGATCTGATGTATCAGTTGCCCCTCCATAAACATGTACATCCTGGAGCCTACCCATCAACCTTTTATCCACCAATACATAATCTAACAAACAACTTTCAAAATAATATCCACAGAAATACTTCAGTTTTATAGATTCCAGTTGAAACATTAAAAACAATTGTTAACTTATTCCCATCTTACCAACTGCTTCCCGGCAGTCCTATTTATTGACAATTGTGATTATTCAGATGACTATGATGATTTTAATCACATTATTTAATGATGAAATATTCTAATCAAAATACTCACCTTTGGGTCTGACATAAATTCTATTATCTTGTCCTTCTCTCTCGCTGAGGATACATCAAAAGCAAATTCTCCATCTTTAAAGTACTTGATGGTAGGATAGCCTTTAATACTGAATTCTGAGCCCAGCTTAGTTTCCTTCGTGGTGTCGACAGCAGCTAACCGTCCCGCCATCTTAAATAAAATACAGTATTAGAGGGAAAAGGGAGAGTATACATACTTCAATGCATTTTTTATCATTACTTTATTTAATTATTAAAATTTCTACAAGGCTACGATGTAAAGTGATCGAAAGAAATACATTCATCACTAACACTTGTTACCAACATGTCTTTCTAGAAGTGCACAGGCATTGATCCAGTGGTTATCCAGTGAAGTGAAATATTCCTCTTGTGCTTTCAAAGTAAGTCACTGTTCTTTCCACTACCCACCACAAAACCCGAGTTCAGTCAACTGGTTTCTCTGAATCTCTTCATACAAATTGCCATGCTTAGAATACAATATTTAGTCAAATCCCAAAAGATAACTCACTTCCACTCGCTGATCTAATATATTCACATATTCCTGATGGTTACTCTAGCCCCTACCAGTCAAAATTACCTCTACAGCCCTTCCTTGCATATCCCTTATACCTCTAGTCCAACCCATATTTATACAATATTCTGATCAACCTCTCTTATTCCATCATTTCAATCTATCTTTCAATGGCTCCAGGATCATTACTGTCATGTTCCGGTCAAAGATCATGGCTCTTAAATTAAAAAAAAAAAAAAAAAAAAAATAAGAATGATTTAGAACTATATCTATATGCAAGCACAAGTTTGTAAAATTTTCATGTCAGCTAATGTGTTTATGAGACAGAATGAAAAGACCAGCAATCCAACCAGAGTGCAAAATAATTCACAAGAACTTGACAGGATGGAATACCATTTCTATACTCACTCACAGCTTTTCTTTCCTAATGCATCTCATTCATCTCTGCTCCATGCATAAAATGTTGTTACCATTTTATCATCTAAGTTAACAATTTCCCAAAACAATTATCCCTCTCTCTATACCTCTACCTCCTTACCCAACACCTCACCACTTGTACTCTTAAACAATAAGTCCATCTACTCCTCACCTCATTTCTCTCTTTCCAAAACTATTTTATATTAACAAGATTTGCCTATAATTACACACTATTTTTGACCTCATGTTGCTCTCCACATGTTCCATCTCCCTTATAAAGATCACACTAATTTTTCTTTTTATTTCAACAATTTCTTCATCATCATTAGCGACATTCTTCTTCCTTTCTGCAATTACCATCATACAACCACAAACCTCTCCATGAGGAAGAGAACAGAATTCTTCCTCTGAAAGCCATGTGTATTGTTAGAGGCGACTAAAATGCAGGGAGCAAGGGGCTAGTAACCTCTTCTCCTGTATATGTTACTAAATTTAAAAAGAGAAAGTTTAAATTTTTCTTTGTAGGTCATCCTGCCTCGGTGGGATATATATTAAAAGGGTTTATTTATTTATTGTATAGGACTATTAAATTATAATATTTTTTTGGTTTTTTTTTTTTTACGGTCCCGTCCCCCAGTTGCACCAGAAAAAATCCCAAAAAGAAATCTTTCCCCAAAATTTTGTTAAAACTCCAATTTAAATGTTTTTAAAAGGGGTTTTCTTTTTTTAAAATCTGAAATTTAACTTAAGTAACCCTTCCTAAATAAAACCCCCAACCCCCCCTTTAAAGTGCGGTATTTTTATTTCCTTTTTAAATTAATTCCCACAATGAAAATTTTTTCCTTTATAAATAACCCGTACATAACATTATAAAGTAATTCACCCATTATTATCTAAAGTGAGTTTGGGGAAGCCAAGCCCCTTCCCACAAAACCCTTATCCCAATTTTTCGGCCGACCCCCCCCTTCCATTAAATTTTATATCTTCGTAATTACACCATTTTCTTAATGCCAAAACCATCATATTTTTTTCAAAATTTTTTTAATAATTTAACCCCCAAATTGCATAAATATAAAAAGTAAAATACCCCCTCCATAAATAAATAAAACATAAAATTAAATTAAATTTAATTAAATAAAAACAAATATATAATTATTTAATTATTTTACTATATAATTTTAATTAATACATATATTTTTTTTTTCAAAATTATAAAAAAAACCACTTGAAAAATAAAATTAAGGTTTTACCCCCCAAAACAGTAGAAATAAATCAAAAATAAAGGGTTGGGCCAACAACATTTCCCAGATCCCCAAATTAAAAATAGCGGAGGCCAATAAGTCTTTTTACAAACCAAAAAATTATTCACCAAAAAAATTTTTTAAAATTATTATTTCCGTGTAATTAAAAATTCTCCCAAATTAATAAATTAAATAAATGTTTAATTTTATATAACCCAAAGGGAAAATTAAAAATATATTTCAAAATGTTTATTAAGACAAATCAATTTTCCCTTAACCAGCCTTGATATTTTTAAAAATTTTTAGAAAATAAAAAATTGGAGGGTTCAAATTTTAAAAAACATAATAAAAGGGGATTGGGGAATCTTGCCTTTTCCTAATGTATATTTTTTTTTTATCTTATTCGTTTTACCATTTCCCTTTTTAAAACTTTATCCAAATTTTACAAAATTTTAAGCAATATAAACTGTGAAAACATATCGTTTTAGATTAAAAAAATAAATATAGTTGGTGGGTTCCAATGCTCTATTACTTAAATTTACCATCCAATTGATTTTTACAAAAATTAATATTGTTCACCCAGTTAAAGGGAATATAATAATTATTTTAAGTAAAAGAGTTTGGGGTATTGACTAATTTTTTTTGATGGGTTTAAAATTGTAATTTAAAATTTATGAAATTGGGAAATTTTAATTTAATAATGGAAAAAAAATTTAAAATTTCGGGATTTTGTTTGGGGTTTGTGAAAACCGCCTATAGGGCCCCCGTAATATTTAAAAGTATTAAATTATATATTTTTAATTATATATTTTTTATAAATTATATAAAATTTAATATTTTTATATTTTTTTTTTTCCAAGTGGGTTTTCAAAATAAATCAAAATAAAAAATTTCAAGTTTCGTGATCCTATCATAATATAATAAATATCCAAAATATAAAATTTAAATATATAATCCACTAAGGGTAAAAGTAGGCCCGAACTGAAAGGGCCTTGAAACCCCAACCTATTCACAAGGATTTTTTTAAATATATTTATTTTATTTTATTTTCTTAAATTTATTATATTATAATATCTAATTATATATATATAAAAAAATTTCTATTAGAAAAGGTTTTAGAAAAAAGCAAACCTGCCCAGGATTTTTTACTACCTCCTTTTTGAAATCAAGGGAGGGTTAAAACTTAAGAAAGACTTAATTTGTTTTAATGAATGGTGGATTCTTTTCCCTTTTTTCTGTTTACCGAACATGAAAATTTTTCAAGGACGTAGAACTTCATTAAATTTGGTAAAAACTGACATGTAAAACGAATTAATATACAAACTGGGCAGTTTTTTCCAATCTCTTTTTTTTTTAAAATTTTCCCATCCCAGGGGGAAAAAGGGGGTTGGGAAATTTTCCAAGTCCATGGGTGAAGGAAAAAAATTTGGGGGAACGGGTAAAAAAACCCTTTTGAAATAACAAATGAAAAAACCTTTGTTTTTTTTTGGTCCATTTATTTATGGGAATTTTGGGAAGAAAAATTAAAAATAATAAAATATATAATTTTAAATAATTTTTCTTTATTTTTTTTCAAACACCGTCCGTATCCCCGAAACCGGGGCGGGGTGGGCCAAAAGGAAAACCCAAAAAGGTTTATTTTCCTTTTCTTTGTAATATATCAGGAAAGGGATTCTCACTTTCAGGTTTTTTGCTTTAAAACCCCGATGGCTTAGGAAAAAATTTTTATTAATAATAAGAAAAAATAAAAAAATTTTAATATAAAAAAAATAGAAAAAACAGAGGTTGAATTTATTCTTTACAGTTTTGTGAAATTAAACAATTTAAAATAAAATAGAATACTAAAATTTATTTCTTTGGAGAGGGAAAAAGGCCCAGAATTCCCTTCCATATGTAAAACAAACGGTTTTGTTTTACATATGGAGGACGGTTTTTTTGTCTCCCTGCAGTTGGCGTCATCCACCTACTCCCTTTAGGTTAATAATTATAATTTAAAATATATATATATCCTTTTTTTTTATTTTATTTTTTTATTATTTTCCTAGGGAAGTTGGTAGGAACAGAACCCCCCCAGGGGTATAGCCTAAAATGGGAAAACGAAACCCCCTGTAATTTTTAAAAATGAAAGGGGGATTTCGGTTTTTTTTTTTTCCTTCCCTCTTTAATACACCCAAGTTTAGGTAGTTTTAATTTATTAAAACTTTATAATATATAATTAAACCTATATATTACACAACCCCTCTGGGTATTCCCTTCATTTTTCTTTTAATTCTGTGTTTTTTTTGCCTCAAAATCAGGGGAAGTTTCGGGTATTCTTGTACCTCTATTTAAAGGGCAATTAAAAATGCCAAGAAATTTATAACCCTTTTTCCTATTTTTTCAAAATTTTGGTTTCGTTTTTCCTTTTTTGGGGGGCCACCCTGCCTTGGTTTTTGGGAATTTTAAAACGGCGGGGTTGTAAAGATTTATTATAAATTTATAAAAAAATTTTTTTTTTTATATTTTATCCCCTTTTAAAAAATTATATATATTTATATATATATATATATATACCTAGGTAGTAGGTTGGTAGACAGCAACCATCCAGGGAGGTACTACCGTCCTGCCAAGTGAGTGTAAAACGAAAGCCTGTGATTGTTACATGATGGTAGGATTGCTGATGTCTTTTGTCTGTCTCATAAATATGCAAGATTACAGGTATGTCTTGCTACTTCTACTTACACTTAGGTCACACTACACATACATGTACACATTTATTTATACACACTCATCTGAGTTTTCTTTGATTTTATCTTAATAGTTCTTGGTCTTATTACTTTTTTTTTTATATCCATGGGGAAGGGGAAATAAGAATCTTTCCTCCGTAAGCCATGCGTGTTGTAAAAGTCAACTAAAATGCCGGGGGAACAATGGGCTAGTAACCCCTTTTCCTGTAAAGATTACTAAAAAGAATAAGAAGAAAATTGTTTTCTTTCTTTTTTG